GGATGGGGTTCTTTAGATTCTCAGCTCCTTGGAACAGGGGCCCCATCTGCTTTTCGTAGAATCATAGAATATCAGGGTTGGAAGGGACCTCAGGAGGTCATCTAGTCCAACCACCTGCTCAAAGCAGGACCAATCCCCAACTAAATCATCCCAGCCAGGGCTTTGTCAAGCTGGGCCTTAAAAACCTCTAAGGAAGGAGATTCCATCACTTCCCTAGGTAACCCATTCCAGTGCTTCACCACCCTCCTAGTGAAAAAGTTTTTCCTAATATGCAACCTAAACCTCCCCCACTGCAAATTGAGACCATTGCTCCTTGTTCTGTCATCTACCACCACTGAGAACAGTCTAGATCAGTGGTTCCCAAACTGAGGTTCGTGAACCCCTGGGAGTTCGCAAAATGTTACAGGGGGTTCCGGGAAAAAACTCCCTAATGGCAGACAGAGCTGTCCCTAGGGACCTCAGGCAGCACAGGGCCAGCAGCCCGAAGCCCCTGAATGTCCAAGAGCTAAGAAGATCAAAGCAAGCATTTCTATCACACTGAGGAGATTTAAACTTCAGGATTCCTTATAAGAAGTGGAAAGGGAGGTGGATATTTTTTGCTGTTTTTAAAATTAAATAGACAGCTAGTATTGTTTTTAAAATTATTATGAAGAACAAGTTTAAGCTTTGTTGTAACGAGCGTTGTTTGCCTGGACTGCTCAAGACCTGAATGCTTGTGTAGGAGGAACTCTTTGTGTAGGAGTTGTCTTCTTAAATACCTTCCTGCTATTTCACATCTGATATTCCTTGATGAAACATAGGAGCCTTGTCTTATAACAGGCTTATACAAAGTGATACAAGCTACGAAAGTGAGATCTTGGAAGAGTGTTGGCATTTTCATAATGTAATACAAATTCTGTAATGATTAATAATTAATAATAAATAGTGTGTAATAAGCATGTCATAAAAACACATTTTATATTTCCAAGATCACTGCTTTTATAATTTATACTCAGGTAAAGGAGAAAATCCCTGGAAATATTCATTTTTAGGAGGGGGTTCGCGAGACTTGACATTTTATTGAAAGGGGTTCACAAGTTGTTAAAGTTTGGGAACCACTGGTCTAGATCCATCCATTTTCGTAGCGCACTGAGCAGACTGATGCTGCTTGCAAAACAATACAAGTGTCATTGTAGCCGTGTCGGTCCCAGGATATTAGAGAGAACAAGGTGAGCCCAACTTAGTGGGATAAAAGATAGTCCCTCGCCTCTCTGAGGCGATAACAACACACTTTCCTCACAGGAGGATCATGAGGCTTTAAGGTGCATTCGGAAGAGGGGAGGCTGCAGAGGCGCAGTAGGAGAGCACCGAGGGTGCCAGTCCGCTGAAGCTGGTTTTGGGCCAAGCTGGGCATCGGGCAGATCAGGCGCTGGCAGGGCGCTGCATTGCAGGGCTGCCGCTGGCTGCCTTGGGGAGGCAGCGCGGTCCAGGGGCTAGGGCAGCCGGCTGCTGAGGGGGTGGGGCTGCCTGTGCTGTGGGGCTGGCTGCCTTGGGG